GTTAAACTCTAGAAGATCTTGACTCTTTTCTAGGTTTTTTTGCCTTTGACATTACTGACTCCCACTTAAGAGGCAAGAAGCAGCAGATGAAGTGGCTTATGAATTTTAGAATATGAAACGTACTATTTTTTTTAATGAAGGAAGAAGTTTCATTAAAAAAGGCATCAAGAAGATGCTAAAGGTTATAAAATAGGCGAGTTAGCTCTTACACAGACGAAATACATGAAATATACATTATTAACTTAAAAAAGGAAACTTACATCATTTATAGCTTCTGATGTGGAACTTTCTCCTGTTTATTCATTTTCTAATTTTCTAGAGCGAGAATGAATTATTTAAACAAGAATATTATCGAACTTCTTAAAAATATTATAACTAGTCTTATGATACGCGCGTTGCGCGTGTACACTATCTCAATGATTTTTTTTTAAGAAAATCATATAAATATGGACGAAAAGATGCTTGGTGGATAACTTCGGTGCTCAGATTATTAACCTTTCTTTATTGTACCAGAGAGTATTTATTACTTTTTTCAGCCCAATTTTGTTGTCCAATTTTAATTTTTTCGATTATTATGAGAAAATAAAAGAATACGAATTAATTACATAACCTCACGGAGTGTTATTAGTTGACTAATTTTTGATGAGATAAGATATAATTGTATTAGCAATAAGCAATTATCCTTTAGAGAAATACATGTATAAAGTGAGATTTTACTATAATATATTATCAAGTGAATTCAATGATTCCCAACTCTTTTAAATTATAAATCTTCTGGAAGTAATTGGTTTTTATTTAAGTAATTAACAAGCTTTAAACCTCACTCACTTTTCATCAATCTGATTCTCTCAAATAGTAGTTGAAATATTAAGGGTTTGTAGCATAGATGTTCCAATCTCTGTGGGACGATATCATAAACTATACTAGAATTTGACAAAGCACGAGCAGGAAAATCCTATACACATTGGCCTCGTCATCATCATTGTGATAATGAGAATAATAAGGATTCTCGAAATAATCCTTAACTCTATGAAAGTAATATTTGTCATCGATTTGACATGAGATTTTATAAAGCACATATAGATGATTATGGTCCATTCATGATGTGAATGTGACAACATCTGATTTATGAATACATATTCATTCTTCAAAGAATATGAACGTGCTNGAGTATTTATTACTTTTTTCAGCCCAATTTTGTTGTCCAATTTTAATTTTTTCGATTGTTATGAGAAAATAAAAGAATACGAATTATTTATATTTTTCTTTGAAATAATTCTTTTTTATGACAATAAGGACTTCTAAAGAAGTCATGGACACCCGATTATAATTCCTTCTTCTATGGTATGTTAAGAATATATAGTTATGGAATGTTAGTAGTTCTTACATAATTCAAATAAGGAAAATTTAATAGTCAAAGTTTTAGTTAATTTAAAACCTAGACATTAGGAAAATAGTTAGATGATATTAGGAAAATAATAAGATGAATAATATTTCGCTAAGGGTATTTGTACATGCGTTGCGCGTGTATTCCGTGTCATGAGTAAAACCTTTTTAAATTCGCATAAATATTATTAAAAAAGTATCGTGAATTATTAATACAAAGATAAAGAAAATAGTGTAAGTTCCTTAAATTAAAGAATAGTGATTGTGTTTAGCTAATTTTATAAAAAAAAATGTAACATAGCTCACAACGGTATTTCAGTCCGTCTATAACCTTTAAACTTCTTTTAGGAAACATATTAAAAAGGTTTACATGATTTTTAAATACCTTTTTTAACTTAACTTCAAATACTACTTTTTTCATAATCACAAATTTATGTCCAACTTCAATTTTCATACAAAGAATATGCTTTAGTTTGACCTATTATTCATTATAATATAAAATAGTTTTATTATTTTAGATGTATATTTTTTGAAGAAATAGTACGTAATTGAAGGGTAAGAGGAAATGTCAATGTTACAATAATATGTTTGTCCATAAATAATCATTTGAGTTATAATATTCTTTGTTTTGAAAATAAATTCGCATTAAAACTAGTTTTATAGAGATCTAAGGATAGTTCTTTTCTTACTTGAAATTAGACAAACTTGCCACTTCCCAAAAAGATATTAAATTGTGTTAAAGTGGAAACATACATTTCTACAATCTAAAATGTAAATAAAAAGGGGTAAAATTAAATGTTCCTAAATTTTTGTTTGACAAATCAGCAAAATTGCCGAAAAATTTTCTCATAACAAAAGTTAGAATTTTCTTTTAAATAAGGTATAATTTGAAAGTATTTGATTCCTTCTTGGAAAGCTATTTTTCTTTTATTTTACTTAGACTTAGATAATTAAATGATTATTCCTAAATAGTAGGGAATTAATTAGTGACTATTCCTAAATAGTAGAAAATTAGTTAAATGACTATTTCTAAATATTAGTAGAATAATCAAATGACTATTTTGTCAAATGTGAATTCAATTTTAAAGGGGTAAAAAAGGTGAACGACATTTCTCTAATGGTCTTTGTGCTTTTAATATAGTATAGATAGGTCAAGATGCTGGCTTCCATTCAAGTCCTATACCTCTATAATGTATTCTAGTTACCTCTTTTTTCACTAACTTCGGTTAGGTATTGACGTTAGAGAAAAATCTGACAACTTATTTCTCAAGTCCAGATAAAGGAGGAGAGTTACAGTAAGTTGACTGCCAGCGTAAAAATAGTTTGGCGTCGAGGCATGTTGGTTAATTTTTCCTATGGTTATAGTTCATTTTCCTAAGTTCCCCTGATCGATTCTCTTTCTCTCACCGAGTTACTGGTGGAAGGAGAAGGCTTCATCAATCTAGTGCCACCATGTCTGATTGCCATGGAGATGTTTTCATTATTAATTCGAAAGACGCACTATTCACTGAAATTTAAGTAGTGAGAGGAGAGTTTTGCGGTTGGTTTGTATTGAGGTAGGTGATTTGATTTTTGAGCTTGTCAAAGTTGTAGTATTTATTTTTTGTGTTGAGTTCCGTTATGGTACACTTTTGAGATTCTTCTCGAATGCAATCTATTAGCTAAGGAAATGATTTATCTCTATATAATGAATGAGTAATTATATTTTATTCTTCTAATTTTCAAATACAGAGAAAACAAAAATTTGACAGGAACTGCCAGATATGCAAGCATGAATACTCACCTTGGCATAGGTAAGCTTTTGGTTTTTAACCTTTTGTACAATTTTGTTTATGTGGATTGCGCTTATTCTTGAAGCTATCCTTGATTCCTTTGTTGCTTTCAAACCTATAGAACAAAGCCGAAGGGATGATTTGGAGTCACTGGGTTATGTTCTAATGTATTTCTTAAGAGGAAGGTAGAATCTCTTTATGTATATCTCCTTTTTTTTTATTTGCTTTCACTCTTCTTTCTTGACATATATATTTACTGATTTCAAAATGTGTAGTCTTCCTTGGCAGGGGCTGAAAGCAGGCACAAAGAAACAGAAGTATGAGAGGATCAGTGAGAAGAAAGTTTCAACATCAATAGAGGCATTTTATGTTCCTAACATTTTTCTTATGCTAGCGATATGATTTTTAATGACGATGCTGACACAAATTTTTATTTTCTAGACATTGTGTCGTGGCTATCCTACAGAGTTTGCATCATATTTTCACTACTGTCGATCACTGAGATTTGAGGATAAACCAGATTATGCTTATCTCAAGAGAATTTTTCGTGACCTTTTCATTCGTGAAGGTATGATCATTTCTTGCTTTCCATGCAATAATAATAGCTGTATAAGCTCAATTAATGTTTTTTTCTAGAATCTGTGTTATTCATTTTTGCTTTCTTCTCCTCTTTTTTCTTGTCCTTTCAGGTTTTCAGTTTGATTATGTCTTTGACTGGACTATTTTAAAATATCAGCAATCACAACTTGCCAATCCTCCATCTCGTGCTCTTGTGAGTGACTTAGGCAGATCAGTTGTGTGTTAATTGGCCTCAAAATGTTAAAATGAAATGGTATTTTGGTACAGGGTGGTACTGCTGGACCAAGTTCAGGGATGCCTCATGCTCTTGCTAATGTTGAGAGGCAATCAGGTGGGTCTCTTATGTATCTCTACTTCAAGCATAAAAGAAAATTATGAGCAATCAGTACATGTTAGAGCTTTGGGGTTTGCCGATGGTAGACTTATAATGAAACTGGACATTACTTCCGACAAAGCTTGTATAAGTTTCTTTGCTGTTTACTACTTACTGTCCATAGAATTGCATCCTCAGATCATTACTAATAAATGTTATCTTTAGCCTTTAGTGGAAAAAGTACAATTAGCATGTGAAGTGTTCACTAGTTCATAATGTTAGTTATTTTTGTTCGGGGAAGTAATTCTAATATGCAATCTGCTAGTTTGCTATTTCCATGGGACCTACAAATAACATGCTAGACATATTATGCAGGTGGTGAAGAAGGTCGGCCTAATGGTTATTCTTCAGCAAATCTTACACGTAATAGGAACACAGGGCTGCATTTCAACTCTGGAAGCTTAGCTAAGCAAAAAGGGACAGTTGGCAATGATTTATCCACGGGTAAAGAGGTGAGTCCTCTCGCTTTGTCGCTCTTGCTGTTTTACAGCAAATTGTGACACTTCTACAGAATACCAGTGGGCACAAGATTCACAAGATTGCGAGTGCGACCAACTTTGTTAAGCTATAGATGGCATAATTTGTGGTACTTTAATTTACCAAATAGGGATATTATCAATTTTGTGCCTTTTTTTCTTTGGTTACTATTTCTTATTTGTATTTATCTCTCATCTGCATTGCACTTTTCCTAGTAGACATCACAAAACCTTCCATCATTTGACATTTTTTTTCGTCAGTATAACTGCTTGCCTGAGAAAAAATTCATTCCACATGGTAGAAGCAGGATTTAGCGCGATAAAATATAGTACAGCTTGCAGATTACAGGCTAATATATTCTCATGTTTTGTGATTCTATTGACAACCAGCGAAGATAAAAGAATTTTGACTGAGCTCTTGTTGCAGTTATCCAGTTCTAATTTTTTCCGAACAAGTGGATCGTCAAGGCGTCCAGCTGTGTCTAGCAGTCGTGATCCAGTGCTCGCTGGTGGTGAACCTGACCCCTCTCACACCCGGAAAACAGATGCCAGTCCAGGACATCTCCGTAAAACTACCAGTGCCGCACAGAGAAGTTCACCAATTTTGTCATCAGACCAGAAGCGCAGCTCCTCCACTAAAATGGACAAGAATTTCGAGGCTGCCCTTAAAGGAATAGAGGGCCTGAGTGTTAATAAAAATGATGAGAGGCTGCATTACTAGCTGTGCTTTCTGTGACTGTAAATCTTGGCAAAACAGTTACACCAACTTGGGGGATAAGGATGCACTTTGCTACGAGTTGCCATCAGAAAAGACAAAACAGAAATTTACAGTGACCCCAAAAACACGATAAGGAGATTAAGGGGTTACAAAGCCAGATTTGAGATCCCCTTGGTAATCTGGTTTATGCTATGTCTATACATTTGGCGCTCTGTCTGTTTTCCTCATCTCTTTCCCTCTCCTTTATTAGAATTCTTAGTATTCCAAATGGTGCTATGTTGTGAATTATGAAGATATTTTTGTATGATCGGAGACTAAAATATTCACTTGAGACAGACATACTGCATTGGAATTACACCCATCTTTTTTGCTATTGTGGATGAATCTCAATTGCTAGATATTCAAAATATTAGGCTAGAGATTCCGTGTATTTGAAGGAAAATATCTAGGATGGGTGGTACACTTTTTGTCCAATTGAAAAAGTGAAGTATAAAGTAAAAGGAAGCAGAAAGAAACTCCATCCTTACTAGCAGATTCCATCTTTTGGAAAGAAAGATTAAAGTTTGGGTGATAGGAAATCATTCGTTGTCCAATAGAAAAAGTAAAAATATATTGTGTTTGAATATAATGAATGTTATTTTTGAGAATTTCTGTTTTGCTTAAGAAAGAAAAATATTTTTCACCAAAAAGAAAAAATAACTTCATTTTCTTTATAAATATCTACAAAGTACTTTTCAAGGAGTAGTTTTTAAGAAAATATGTTTCACATAAAATAACTTTCGTTAATAAAACGCATCCATAAATAAAAGTAAAAGGAAGCCAAAAGAAAATCTATCCTCTCTTTCTTTGCGAGTCAGTGATCAAGAATGGTTTAGAATCTGACAGCGAAGAGAGCTTTTGCATTTGGATTTTAAAGACAACATGATAGAACGAAAACATCTCAAGTCTCTAAGCTAATAACAAAAGTTAATAATAGGGCTAACCGAAAACAAAATAAAACAAGCTTAATAGGTTATGGAATTGAGTGAAACTTCCTACTAAGACCATTTTGTACATAGATATTTTTACCTTTTTTTCAAATTCCTTCTCAGAAACGTGTTTGTAAAATCAAAATTTTCAAAAAAAATTCCTACCGCAATACTTTTTAAAATGAAATGCATGTCCAAACATAATTTCAAATTTTAAATATTATTTTTCAAACTTAATTTCAAAAATTACAATTTTTATGTTCAATACTAAAATAAGACCCGCACAATCTTCCAAGATCTCTTTCCCTTTCTACCAAATTCTGTTTGTGCTAAAGACAAAAATTCCGACCCAGCCGGTGGAACCACCTAAAATATCATCACATATAGATATTCCTGTTTCTCTTTTTTTTTTTTTTTTTTTTTTTTTTTTTGTGTTTTGATTTTTGTATAATATTAGATTGAGATGAGCATGAATAAAAGGAAATAGCCGTAAAACTGATTCTAACTTGAGTTTGATATTGAGGCGTAATTATTGATGTTAAACATATATCTAGAACAAAAGGACCAATAAGAAGAGATTAATCTATACATATTACATGGATGATTTTTGCAAGATCACAATTCATAACAATAAGCTATCTTTCTTAGCTCAGACAACTGGGATTCTTAAATCCCTTTTTCATATAAATAACAAGGGCACTTTATCACTCTATGATAGTACATTTTATGTAACTAAAAAATGCTTAAATATTAGTATTATTTAAAATAAAGGACAATAGCCCAAGAAAATTACTAGTCAATTTCACCAGAATCCATGGACAACATGATTACAAGTATTCTTGATCCACCTAAAACTCTTTCTCAAAGAACCTTTCATTTTACCCTCCATAGCATAAGATTTATATCCAATAACTCTTCTTTTCCTTTGCAATTCAGGATCATTAAAAGCCCAATTTCTTGAAGATGCTGTACTTTTGCTCTTCTTCATCTTCACTTCTTTATCTATGCCTCCATATGAATAAGGAACATAAGAATTAGTACTATAACTTCTCAAATCTTGCATATTTGTTGGACCTCCATAGTAATTTTCTATTTGCATCCTTCCTTCTCTTGTTGATACAGATCTAAAATCCTCCATATTTGGACACAAAAAAAAGAGAGTTTTTTGGGGTGATTTGAGTTTTGGTTTTGTGTATAAATGGATTTTGATATATGGGAACAGCTGAAAGTGGTTGTGGCTTTGATCTTTTATATTGTAATATTTGAGTATCTTTTTTTTTTGCTCTCCTACTTTTTAACGTTATTAAAGACTTGCTTTGACTTTTCCTAAGATAGAATGGATGTAAAATTATTGTAAGCTTTTAAATGTTATTCCCACCATTTGCACGTATCATTGGACATGACCAGATGCGGACCCAAGATTTGAAGTTCGTGTATAATTTTGCATTCAATCACAATTTATTTTGTATAGAGTGTTACTATTAATTTATCATTATTTTTAATGATATATATATGTATAAATGAAATATTTGCCAAACTTATCTGATGCTGGTGATCTAGCTTCACCTAACCGAGGCCATGACTAGCAATAGGAAGGTGTGGAGGTCGAGGATTAAGGTGGTGGGTTGGCAGGTAGTTGTGAGTTTCTCCTAGGTTTACCAGTAGTACTAGAACTATTCTTGTATTCTTAATTCTTTATTATTTGTTATGTCACTCGCTTCCATTACCTTTTTATATTACTGTTGTTATTGCTTGTTGCTTTATTTTTATCATTCCTTAAGCCAAGGGTCTATCGGAAACAGTCTCTCTGCCTTTATAGGGTAGGGTTAAGGTTGTGTACACACTACCATCCACAAATCCTACGTATGAAATTAAGCTAGGTTTATTATTATTATTATTATTGTTATTATCGGGTACCAATGATCCCTCTCTTTACCGCATAGGTCCGCCTCTGGACATGACTCATCAGCACTGGTAAGTGAGGATCCTAGTTTGCAACTTTGCATGTCATGATAATTTTTTTTATTAAGGGAGCACTTCAATATAATAAAAAAATTAATATTATAAACTTATAATTACATATAATCATTCATAAAAAAAAAGTAAAATTAAGAATTTAAAATATAAAATAAATTATTTAATACAACACGTTAGAATGCATTAATATAACAGTTCTTTAAGATTTTATATATATATAAGTTAAATCTTATTCAAATAAAAAATATCAATTTAAGTAAATGGTTTAGTTAAATGTCAATTCTTTTCTTTTCGATCTTGTCCTCTACTACTACTCAATGGCCGCCTTCACCCAAGATTATTATTTTTTTATTTTAAAAAAAAAGGGAGAAAAAATCACATGCCATATATCAGTCAATGTTGACCGTCGAATATCACATTGAAATTCTTTCTTTTATTCTTTGGTAATTTAAACATGTGAAAAAGAGGAGATGGATTTTTTCCGTTTTAATAAATCATTAGCAGACTGTATTTGAAAAGGAATAGGAAGAAATCCTAATCAGACAATTAAGAGCTCTCTGAGTTTGATAGTTAACAGAAATTAATTTGTTTTTCTTGCTTAACAGAAATGAAATTTGACCAAGTCTGAAGTACTGCCTCTTCGATCAGCACATCTTTTTCTTTTGTTGGTTTAATCATTAGGTAACTTAACTAATTCGAATTTGAGCGTGTACGTCTATTAAAAGGATAAAGTTTTTCCTAATTAAAAGGGTAAAAACACTCTCGGCTAGCCAGTTTTCGGATTGGTAATTGAAAAATAACCGACATTTATAAATTCGTTGAAAAATAGCCAATATTTTATGCGGAGATAAAATTTGAACAAAACACCCTAGCTAAACACGGAAAGTTCCAGCACAATATGCTAGATTATGGGACTCCTGTATATAAACTTCCAGCATATTCTATTGGAACTCCAATATTATGCTGGAATCTCATATGTAAAAAATTCGAACTCCAGCATATTATGTTGGAATTTTTTGGATTTTTAAGGGTATTTTGTTCAGATTTTATTTTATATAAAAAGGTGATTAAATTTCGATTACTTTTAAAATTATGATTAATTTTTAATTATTAATTGCAAATTAGACTATTTCTGATTTTTTTTCTCTTAAAAGGTTCTTCAGGTCTCCACGAGCTGGAACGAAAATCTTTGATTAAGGATCGATGAATCCCAGGAGCAGGAGCATGTTCTTCATTCTTGAAGATGAAGTTTAGCCCATGGATCAGATAGTTGCATGCATATTATATCAAGAATCAGCAATTTTGTCAAATGGCTATTTCTCTACAGGCTGGTTGGTAAGGAAAATGTTTGAGGCTAGAAATACATTGGCACTAACATTGCTGGTAGTTTCATTATGTAAATATTGATAATAGGTAAATTAGACTATAATTGGATCCTAAAGAACTACATTTTTGTATAGCTTTGTGGTAAAAAGTGATAACCAAATGCTCTAATTAGTGCTTTTCATGCTTTTCAGGCTATATCCAATGAAAGAAGTCGATGGAGCACGTTTGGGATCAATTACGGAGAAAAGGAGGCCAATCAAACAATGCCCACGAAGTGCACCAAGCGAAGAGACAAAACCAGAGCTGAACTTGGCCTGCCGCAGTCAGACCGTAACCGCGGTAGGACCGCGGCAGAACATCATTAAAGATTCAAAGGACCACTTTGGCCGCGGTCCTGGCGTAACCGCGGTGGGACCGCGGCAGAACGCGGAAAAGTCAGGGACTAAAGTGTCAAGTCGGAAAAACTTGGTGTAAAACCCTTATAAAAAGTAGGAATTCGGCCACATTAGGGCAGATTTGTTTTGAAGATTACTTTTGCAAGAAACACAAGTGTGAGAGATCACCCAAAAACATCATAGTTCTTTATTTCTTCTTTTTCTTGCACTTTTCCATGATGAATATTTTCGTAGTTTATCTTTACGTTGTTATGAGTAGCTAAATACTTTAGTCTAAGGTTATGATGGAACCTATTGAAGGATGAACTTCTTGATTATGTTCATATAGTTGCCAGTTAATCTCTATTTGTTCAACTACGTGTTTATTGTAGTTAATTGACAGGATCCTTAATTAGCTGTGCCTATTTAGTGTGCATAACTCGGGAGAGAGTGCATATTTAGGTAATTGTTGAACAACACCACTCCCAAAGTATAAGAGGGATCTATAACTGCGGGTTTAAAGGCGGGATTAGGGATAATGAAGCCTTGGGTGCAATCTAAAGTGAGCTGTAATAAACAAAGTCAGCTAGCGTATCTCGGGAGAGTGCGTCTAGTAAATTATCGCGATTACTCGGGAGAGATTTACGGTAAAAAGAGTGCTCATGATTGATAGAGATATTTTGGTGAATCTATATGAAACATAACCGGAAGGGATTCCATCAATAGGGG